AACATTACAGATATCAATACCAACAAATGAATCGAATGAAATATGAACATATAAACAAACATACATATATGCACACGTACATGTGCATATATATTAATGAGACTATACAGACAACTTAAATAAATACACCTTAAATACAACTTAAATAGATACACCTTACCTGCAGACAATTCTTCACCAAAATTTCAACAGTATATTTTTTGGCTTTTTTGGAGCGGAAGAGAATTTGGCAGAAATCAGTAAATTCTGATTCTAATATTTCTATGGAAATGTCAACAGTTAAGACTAGCCAGGACACTCTGGAGGAAGAACGGGTATAAAAATTGTTTTACTGGATAACAAGACTTAGAATAATGCAGGTAGTGCAGCACTGGCGTAAAAACCAGTACTCAGATCAAAAGAAAAGAATGGAGGACACAGAAACTGTCCCATATATGTGGGGCTACATGGTTTCTGACAAAAGTGGTACTGCATGATACACTGCAGAAAGAATCATCTTTTCAACATACAGTGCTAGGTCTACTGGATTTTTATCTGGAAGAAAATGAAACAAACAGAAAAATTACTGCTTAAAAATGGAAAAAACAAAGAATATAGGGAAAAATGATTAAATGAACTACAATGAAGTTAAGAATTATCCTATTTCTAAGATATTTATAACATATGACTGAGTGGTCATATACAGAATACTCATACCAAAAAAACTACAAGTCAATGAAAAAAGAGAGACTAGAAATACAGCTCAATGGTACAGCACTTGCCTAGCATGCATAAAATCTTGGGTTTCATCACCAGTATTGCCAAAGAATAGAGAGGAGGACAAAAGGGAGGGGTAGAGAGGTAAAGACAGGAGAAAAAGAGAGAGAAATGAGAGAGACAAAGGAAGGAAAAAAGAGAGACTGAAACAGATTCAAGAGATACAGAAAGAGCCAGATGAAGTGGTGAATGCCTGTAATCCCTGTACTTGGGAGGTCAAGGAAGGAGGACCGCCATGAGTTCGAGGCCCGCCTGGTCTACATAATGAGATCCTGTTTGAAACAAAGACAGAGGGGGTGAGAGG